CCCCCCCGGCTGGGATGACCTCCTGCTGTCCGGGTCTGAACCGGATCTCCCCTCTCCCCGCCCTCACAGTCTCCCCGCTTTGGCATTCTCTTCCTCCCTTCCCCCACTCCCCTTGTTTGCAGCACAGCTCTGTAATTCTTTGTATTGCCATCTCTCCAGGAGTCCCGTTCCTACCAGTGCTCTGGTCTTCCCACCCTGTAGGCTTTTCTGCCCCTCCTTTTCCAAGAGTAAAGTGTTGGCCTCAGGGGATCCACAGAGTCTCTTAATCCCTTGGCACCTCACTCCACTTCTCCAACCTTAGGACACCAGGGCTTTCCTTTTCTGGCTCCCCACCCACCCGGAAGTCCTTCTTGAGGTCTGACCTCAAGCACTCCAGCTGCTCTCATCCACCCTAGGCTTTCCCACGCCCCACGGCTGGGATGAACTCCTGATGTCCGGGTCTGAACCGGATCTCCCCTCTCCCCTCCCTCAGGGTGCGGCTGAGAGTGGGGGGAAGCCCTCAGTGGACCTGCCTCCCCACCTGGGAGGCTGGAATTTCTCCCTTTTTGTTTCCTTATTCTTTCTGGAGAAACGTGTGCTTGGGAGCGAAGCCTGGTGACCTTCCAGTTCCAAAATCAACCTGTGGGCCCCAGCACACTGCAAGGCGCTCTAGTGTCCTTCTCTGCAGTGGGGGGCGGGGTGCAGAGGGGCGCTGGCGGGCAGCTGTGTAAGAGCCTAAGGTCTCATGGGGTTGCCCCAGGGTGCTCACTTTCCAAGAGCGGGCTAGCCAGAGTAAGACACAAGGTATCAACCTTGCCCCACACCAGCAGAAGCTACTAGTAGACAAGAAAAATGTTGAGGATTTTGTTGTTGTTGTTTTGTTTTGTTTTTGTGGGGCGGTCTTGTCCATTCTTAGTCCCAAAGGAATGCAGCCCACCCATTGTTCTCAAGAGCGAGGAGAGAGGTGGGCTCTCCTGCTGAGAGCAGGCGCTGAAAGCGAAGTGGTGCCCTTGGGAGTCGGGGGCACCTTCAGACTTTAGTTCCAAACCTTTTCCTTCTTTCCTTTTGTCCCTACTTCCAAAATTACATCCAAGCTTGCCCTCGCCTAACTCTCCCTCCCCCAAGGTCTCATTCTGTTCATGTAGCTGACCTTAAAAGTTGTCATCCTCCCTCTTCAGCTTCCCAATGCTCGATTCACAGGCATGCAGAACCACAACTGGCCTGTCAATTTCTGTCCGTTTCTACATTCACTCTCTCAACTGGGGCATCTGGGAGCATTCACACACTACCCCCAAATTTTACTCTTTCCTCCCTAGATCCCTCAACTAACGTCTTCAGATGTGTCCCCAGAAGGACCAGCTTGTAGCTGACGCTCTTAAATCCAAGGCTCAAACTCCTAATTACCTGAGAAGCCCCACATACCACCCTGGCCCCTGCCTTTCCTACTAAGTCGCCAACACCTCCAGCCCCCTCCCTTTCTACCTCTCCACACCCCCAATTCCTTCCCAGTCAGCTCTGCCCCATCTCATGCCTCCCCAGATCCAGGACAGGCCCCTCCCGGGCGCCTGGCCAACTCCAAGCCCGGCTACCCCTAGGAATCCAGGAGTCCAACTCCACGACTTGGAAATACAGACCCTGGCCACCTCCGTCAACCTCTAGAGCTTGACTCGTTGGAGAGCTCAACCATTCCAACATCGCACCTCCACCGCAAGTCGCCTACATTAGGAATCTGTGGGGCCAGGACCTCTGACCCTTCTCCCCACCATCACAATATGGATTACAGGGTGAGGCGGACGTGAAGAGGGACTTTCTGTTTGTTGGGGTGAAGGAATGACTGTAAGTCTAGCCATGACTAACTAGATGGTGTCCAATCTGGAGAGAGCCCCTGCTGAGGGTCGGGGTAAGGATGACTGACTCCTACCACACAGACCTGGATCCCCGCGGCTTTTGATCTTTCAAGGCTGACGTCATCTGAGACCTCACCTACCTAAGCCACCTGCTGCTACATTAGAGCCCTCCAAAGGACCCCCGAGCACCCTATTTCTGCCCCCACCTTAGCTCCTCAGCCGATCTTGATCCCTGAACCCAATTCTGACCCCAATCGCCCAAAGTCCCCCCACCCCCCGCCTTCCACCCTGAATTCCACCACAGACTTTTCCTTCCTGCGGACTCCCCATCCCTCTGAGTCCCCGTATTTCTCCTGTCTACTATGGAACTCATTTCTCCAGGTCGCCCGGCTCTATCGCGCTACCCCAGGGCTCCGGTTCCCACCTCCAGTTTGTTCACTGGAGTCAGGGTCTCAACACCTTTCAAGTGTAACCTCGAGGTTTCATCGCTCACACATGGTCTTCCGTTGGAAGCAAGCCAGCGCACGGATGTGCTGTCCAAAGCGTTCTCCCAAGCCTTGTGCCCCCGTCCCCCCGACTCCCGCACCTAGAATCTGTGTGCTCAGGTCTGTGGCTCCCACCTGGGCCCGCACCGCAGCCCCTGCGTGCATTAAAGCACGCAGCCCCGCACCTGCCCCCCATTTCCCGCTCCGCCATCCCCGAGGACACACCTCGCCCGCCTCCGGGTAGTAGCTCCACTCGGCCAGGTCATGAGCCTCCATCTTCACTGAGCCCAGCATCCCCCGGGCCTGCGCCCCCACACGCCCAGGCGGCGGCCCCCCTCGGGGAACCGAGCGCTTCGGTCTCTCTACAGGCACTAGCCCCGAGTTCCGACCTGAGGCATACAGCCCGGGAGTCCCGCTGGCCCAGGCGCCTTGGGAGGCAGCCACTTTTTATAGTTGGGACACCCCCTCCCTGGCCCGCCCCGGGCTCCCCTCCCGCCTCCCCGAAGGTGGCGCGCTCGGATTGGGGCGCCCCCTGCGGGCACGCAAGAAGAGAGACCTTAGGCACCGGGAGCCTCGGTCCTGGCACCTGGTAGCTAGCAATGGATGAAGAACGGGAGTCTACAAGAGGTGCGGTGGAGAGTCACACCCTGCTGACTCCAAAAGCCCTAGAGCCACAACGCGGCAGCCTGAGAATCTTTCTGCCTCGAGGTGTTTCATCATCTCCACCTAAGAGAGGGAAACTCCAGAGCCCCGCATGTCCTCCACGAAAGAAAGGAGGCTGACAGCGCTCAGGACTCCACAAGTCCTATACAACAACAAAAGTAGCCAGCAGAGATTCTTGAAAACACATTCCCATTGGACAGACAGGAAGACTGAGGCTTTTGACGACTGCAAATGTTGCAGACTCCGTACGGGGTCAGGGTCAGCGGTGGAAACGCTCGAGGCTTCTGCTTAGGCCCCATTAAGGCACCAGATCTCTTCCAAGACCCAGAAACTCCACTCACAGCACTCTCCACTCTAACATCAGCCAGCCGTCTAGGGAGATAGACTCCGGACTACTGGGAACTCCATTTCCCAGAAGCCTCCGTTCGCATTTCCGTCGGGCGCCTGCGCAGCGCGGACTACATTTCCCAGAAGCCATGGCGCTTGAAGGCCGGAAATGGCGGCCGCCCCGGTGGACGCCCGGGGAGGGCGGGCGGCTGCGGACGCGGCACGCCTTAGGGGCGGGGACGGGCCGCGGTGCCGGACTCCATTTCCCGGCGGCCCTACTAGTGCAGCGCCTGCGCTGTGTCACGGCGGCGGGCGGAAGATGGCGGCGGCAGCGTCTGTGGAGAGGCGCTGCTGAGGGGGCGCGAGGGGGACGGAGGCCGGAGCCGCGGTGAGCGGGTGGCGGCGTGAGGTCCTGGGGTGAGGGGAGGAGGGGCGCTGACAAGGCCGGGGCGCGAGCGGTGGGGAGGGCCTGGGTGAGGGCCGGGAGCAGCGGGGTCGCGGGCCCCTGCTTCCTTCCCATACTGCTCAGACCCTTCCCTGGCTTCCCGGTCCCCCGGGGCCAAAGTTCCAACGTGGGCCCGCAGACCTCCCCGGCCTCCAGCCTGCGACCTGGCTCATCCCCCGCTCAGCACACAGCTGCAACTGGCCCTTCACTTCCCCAGGCTGCCCATGTGCCTTCCCACCCCGGGGCCTTTGCACAGGCTGTTCCTCCCCAATCCCCCCCGCCCTCGAAACATGTTGTTATCCTTCGGCCTAACTCCCTTTTCATCCTTGGGGTTGGGGGGGCTCGGCACCCCACGTCACTTCCCCTGAGAAGCCTCCGTTTCCCTCTCTCCTTCCCCAAATCTGCCTGCTGAAGGCTCTCATAGGTCCTCGTGCCTTTCCTTCTCATCACGTGTGGTCGAACCTGTTATTAGGGTTTTATCTGTGTGCTGTCTGAGGATGTCCCTGACCCTGAGGTCTGTGTAAGCGAGAACAAGGTGTGTCTTGGTGCCTGCCTCCCAGCACAGCTAGCGCCCATCACACACTGGTGTTGCTCAGTTGATGTTCGTTGAATGAATGAAAAAACCCTTGGAGATCCACTCCTTAGGGTAACAGAGTCGTTGTACTTCCTGGTGGGAGGGGCAGTTCACTGCGGAGCACCCAGCCAGAGAGGGGAGACAGTGTTAACTGCAAACATCCCAACTGTTCTTCAGTGGGAAGTCTGGCAGAAATCGCTAGTTACATTTACGTAATAAAATGATTTGCAACTGTAGAAAGAAAGGAAGGAGAAAAATAGACTGAGCTCCAGTATTTATGAAGAGAAAAATGAGAGAAATAGAAAATAGATTATAGCCGGGCAGTGGTGGCACACACTTTTAATCCTAGCACTTGGGAGGCAGAGACAGGCAGATTTCTGAGTTCGAGGCCAGCCTGGTCTACAGAGTGAGTTCCTGGACAGCCAGGGCTACACAGAGAAACCCTGTCTCCAACAACAATAAATATATAGATTATATACAAGTTGACACCTTGTCTTGGACGTTCACATATGTGGATTCAGCCCACCTTAGATTGAAATATTCAGGAAAATGGTTTACACTGACTATTTGTAGACTTTAAATTTTTACATCAGTCCCTCAACAATACAATGTAACAACATTTAGGTAGTATGTTGAATTACCTATTTTAGGTCATCTGGAGGTGACTTAAGCCAAGCTTGGTGGCACAGACCTATAGTTCAGCTAGTTAAGAGACTGGGGCAGGAGGATTACAAAGAGCTAGGCCTTGTCTGGACTTCAGAGTGAGTTTACTGGCAGTCTGGGCAATTTAGGGAAACCGTGTCTCAAAGACAATCAGCAGAAAGTGTGCTGGGATGTAGCCCATTGGCAGAGCACTTGCCTGGCACACAGGGATCCTGGGTTCCCAATAGCTCGTCCTGAGAGAGGATTTTAAAAGCATGCCAGAAGGTCTGTATGACACATGAACACTGTTTCTGGTGATGCGGTGCTGGAGATGAAGCATGGGGCTTTGTGCAGATTAAACAACTGCATGCCAGGTGACCTCTGTGCCGGGCCCCGACAGTGTCTCACCCACCCCCACCTCCACCATCACTTCCACCTCCACCAGCACCAGGTTTCTCTTTGTAGCCTTGGTTGCCCTGGGACTCACTTGGCTGACCAAGCTGGCCTTGAACTTGTAGAGATCTGTCTATCTCTGCCTCCCAAGTACTGGTATCAAAGGTGTGCGCCAGCACCTGACTGGCTGCTTTCTCTCTCTGTGTGTGTGTGTGTGTGTGTGTGTCTCTCTCACACACACACACACACACACACACACAATGGCTCCAGATGGTTTTCAAGCTGAGAGCTTCTTACCTCTGCCCAGAATGTTGAGATTTAAGGGGTATGCCACCCTATCTGGCCAAACAGTGCTGTTTTAATTTCCAGACTGAATTTTGATATAAAGGGGGTTCTGGGGTCAATTTCTGATACTGATGGGCAGCTGAACATCCATTTTTACTAATTACAAAAAGAAAAATGAGAAAGAAAAATAGGAATATATACTCAAGATAAAACAAAACCCAGAAGATTAGAGGAAGGGAAGTCCCCAGGAGCAGCAAGGTATGTCATGTCAGGTGGCCATGCCCCTTGGCTTAATGAACAGACATGGGGCATGGCAGTGGTCAGTAGCATGGGACAAAGGGAGCCCAGGATGCGCTGTGTGTGAAAGTAGGGAAGGCCTCACTAAGGAGAGAAAGACTAGGTCTCTGGGGACAGAAGAGGGGAGCTGACAGCAAGGTGGCCAGAGGGCGGTGTAGGCCTTGTGGGCGGGGCTGTGGCTATGGTCCTGACACTAAGCAATATGTGGAAGTAACCGGCAGCCTTCACATCCTGCTCAAAATGTTATGGTTCTTTAAAAAGATAAAGCTTAGGCAGCCTAGTGGCTCGTGCCTTTCGTCAGCACTGGGAGACAGAGGTAGGCAGGCCCCCGCGTTTGACACCAGTCTGGTCTACATAGGGTTTACAGTCCACCTAGACCCTACCAGAGTACTTCCACTCCGTGGCTTTAAAGAAAAAATTCTGGCAATAAACTATTTATTTGTATGTGATGTCTAGCAGGGGTGTTGCTATTTAGTTTATAGGTTAATCCCATTTAAAGTTAGTTAACTCCACCAGACGTGGTGGCACGTGTCTTTAATCCAAGTACTCGGCAGGCCAAATCTCTGAGTCCCACGCCAGCCTTGTCTACAGAACAAGTTCTAGAACAGGGCTACACAAAGAAACCTTGTCTCAGAAAAGAACAAGCAAAAACAAAACAAAAAAATAACAAAACCTTAGTTACCTGCAATACTGTCTTCTAGATTTTCAGTTGCACCATTTATATTTAGAAGTAATCTAAGCTGGTTTTTAAAATTTAATCTTATGTTTATTTTACGTATATGGGCTATTGCTTCTGTTTATGTCTCTGTACCAAGTATTGTGGAGGCTAGACCAGTGTCTCATGTCCTCCTAGGACTAGAGTTAGAATTTGGAGCTGCCCTGTGAGGGCTGGGGATCAACAAACTCATTCCCTGAGAGAGCAGCTAGTGAGTTTCACTAGCTGAGCCAACTCTCCAGTCCTCAGTCCCACCTTTGAAGACACTTGTAGTTTAGCCTTTTTCTTTTCTTCATACTGGCATCCAGCTCAGTGTGATCCTCCTGCCTCAGCCTCCTGACTGTAGGGATTATACTACCCTGGCTTTGGTTTTCTTCATATAACAGACCTACCCCTCTCCCCGCCCCCCCTTCTTTTTGAAGCTGTGGAGATTACCGTTGCCTGCTGGTGGTCACAGAACCCCTGCATTGTCACTGTAGAGGTTTTCCATGTCCCTTTCTCCCCTCTCTTGCAACCATGTCTGTCTTAGCTGCCCCTTAGACCTCACAATTCTCCTGCCTCTGACTCCCCAAAGACTACAGGTGTGTGCACCTGCCTGGGTGTCCTGTCAGTTCCTTGTTACAGCTGTGCCATCTGTTGGCTTGTTTGTTTAGCCCAGAGTCAGGCCTGGGCCCCTCAGGGCCTTGCACATGCTGTTCAACGCTTACAGAGAATCCTTCAGCATGTAGTGTTGTGGTAGTCTTTGTAGCCTGACTCCCTATTTAAGAACACTTAGTTGGGTTATGCTGCTTGCTGGTAAAAGTAATGTCCGATGTGGTACCTATGTCTATGAGTCATTTCATGATTTTATCAGTAAGATTTTGTGATAATTGTGTAGAAGTTCCTCTTTCTCCCTTTTCACAGAAGGAATGGTTTAAGGATGCTGTATTATAATGAGTCTTCTTCCTTCCTTCCTTCCTTCCTTCCTTCCTTCCTTCCTTCCTTCCTTCCTTCCTTCCTTCTTCCTGAGACAGTATTATATAGCACTGTCTAGTTTTGAACTCACTGTGTAACTGAGGCTGGTCTTGAA